CACATATTGGAGAGCGCATTAGAAACAGCATGCATTAGCGTGGTCGCTCGGGTGTACCCAATCCCACGACCTTATCGCCGGAAAGGTCGCGCGTTGAGTTCGCGCGCGGAAGGGAAAATCGCGGGGAGGACCGCGCCGCGTTCGCGCGCGCTCCCACGAAAATCCGTCGATTTGCAATTTTCCGGCGAACGAGCCGTGAAAACGAAGCGAGCGAGAGGACACGATGTGCGATTCCTCGACATCGCGGATCGTGCTGTCAGCGTCGCGAAAGTGCGGCCATAAGATGCAATTAGGGTGCGAACCCCGTGTGTGTCGATCGCGGCAACGAGGGAGGGGGGGGAGGGGGAGAGAGGAAAACGTTGGCGTTACGGAGACACGTATCAGCCGTTTTCCCCTCTCTCCCGTCCTCTCCGCGCAGGACTATGATTAGCATTCGCTTCTGAAGCCAGGTTTTGCGGCAATCCGGCACGCATGACTGGCCCGCGCCTAACACGCGCGCGCGCGCACGTACGCAAAACCGTAATTTCGCAGGGTGTGTGAGTGTGTGTTAATAAAACGCCCGGCGTTCTGTCGTCCCCGCGACAGGATAATGAATCCGGAATCGATCTGTACGCCCCGTTCGATATACGCCGATACGCATATACCGCGCGCGGCGCTATTAAGATCGCCGCTTAAGAAATGCGTGACAACGCCGCGAACAGCATTTCCGAGGGAGATTCATACGACGGATAAAGCGTATCGAGCGAGATACGAAACCGCCGAGGGAACGGTGTAGAACTTAAATCATACTTATAACCGGTATTTCTCTCTTGCAGACGGTTGAAATAAAAAGTGCGGTTCCGCGCGTTCATTTCAGACGAGTATTTCGATGTAGTTCGATAATTTATGAATAATAAGGCCAATAAATCAAGTAAAACTTGCCCTTATACACATAATTAAAAACGATGATCGCGTCAATTTTAGAAATAAGTGAAACTTATTTTTGCCTTTTAGCTGCTCTGCACTAAAAACTGACGATTGATTTGTGAGATATTCGTTTGCTTTTGCACACCTAATTAGAGCAAATTGCTGACTCTAAATTAATGCGATAAAACTATAAGAATATTTTTCCTAAAAATATATATATTTTTTAAGTAGTAGCAATTGTTTATTATACTGGATATTCCATTTTAATGAAAACAGTGAAACTATATTTCATTTTAATGGAAACAGTGAAATATCTCGAAAAATATACAAGATATGGAAAAATGTTTTAAACAGATAAAAATTGTCTGAACTGAAGAGGAACAAATAAAAAGTATTAAATTACAGTTGTTAAAAAATGACTAGTTAATTACGAGACATTTTATATTTTAATTCAAAATATGCTAGAATAAAATAAAATATCTCATATATGTAAAATATTGATTTTTCGATCATTTTACTTTAACACTTTTACATGTAGAATAATTAACTAAAGAAATTCTATCATATTATAAAAAAATACATATGATTCCGTTAAAAAAAACAGTGATGCCGTTTAAATTATATAACGTTAAAAAATTGATCTTTTTTCAAAAATTAACTTTACCATTATTTATTCGCTTTTCAGACAACAACAGAATATAACTTTTATTCGAAACGCTTTTCAAACGATATTTCACTGTTTCTGTTAAAATTAGAATTATACACCTTGTATAATATTGCAATAACAAAAATGGAATTTAGAAGAAAATGTGAAAGAAGCTGTTTCATTTCCTTCTAAATTCCATTCTTCGAATACGTTTTAACGCATTGCGTCAGAGCGCGCACACATTTTTTGAAGCTCTGAAAAAACTTCGCCGAGGCACTTCTTCTATTCGCATTCTATTCACAGTTCGAGAATTCTTTCGCACAGATTGCCGTAAGGTATTTCTTACAACATAACAACGTATACTGCAGGTACGATTATTTTATTACTTTAAATTCACCGAGGCATATGGGATTATAACGAAATATGCAAATACGCGAGGAAATCTCGCGAAATCTGGTCTCATCGTTCGGTTCGGTAAACACGAGTTATCTCGTGAGCCGTGCGCAATGAGTTAATATTTCATAAATGAAGCTCCTAATTATCAAAATTGCGTTTCCAACGGGCATGCTTCTACCGTTCGAGTTACCTTTCACTGTCAGCGAATATTATCCGATTTTTTTCGACCTCGGGCTTACCTCGCGAGAGGACATCGTATCGTGACATAGTTAAGAAATTATTGATACTTTAGACCTTGCAATGTTACAGCGATCTCTTGCCTCGCGTGACTCCACGATGTGCCGCTTCGTGGGACGGTGTGGAGTGTCAAAAATTTTAGCGAGTGACAGTCAAGGCTTCGACAGCTTTATAATTCGATCGGTATTACCAAGAAGAGCCATCGAAAAGAGTAAAAGATTATTCTGTTCTAAATATTGTGTTCGATATCGCAAACGAAGATATCCACGAGTGATAAATTTTTGAAGATTTGCAATACAGGATGTTTCCTACTTTCGTAAGTATAAAAAAAATGTAAGGGACATTCCCTGGTTTTTTTTATGAAGAAAAGATCCTATGATCTTATGTCCTAAAAAAGCTTTGTTTTTCAAACAGAGATTGTCAAAGTTGCAAAAGAAATATAAAAATCTCGAAAATCTAGAAAACGTTTAGAAATATTTTATTCAAGTTTAGTGTGCGCACGGGTGGTATTAGGAAATTATTAAAGTATTAAATATATAAATTAATACATTACATCCGTAAAGTCAAATAAGAATGCAAATTATTTTCAAAATTTTCATATTTTGTTTTCAACTTTGACACTCTGTATTTTGAAAACAAAGCACTTTAGAACACGATATGTTTATAGGACTTTTTTTCTTCATAAAATAATCCAAGAAGATATGTCCTTAAATTTTTTTTATATTTATTATATTTATAATATTTTATATATATTTATAAATATTTTATATTTATTTATAAAACATCCTATATTAATAGCAATATTAATACACTTAAAAAATTCGTGTCAGACGATCGCGTCTTTCGGAGCGGTCTCCCGGAAATAAAAACAATTTATTTGAGTAGAGCGAGTAGACTAGAGAAGACTCAAACGCGTTCGTTGCAAATTGAATCTTCATACATGTAAATTAACAAGCCCCAGATATCATCGAGGTGGAAAGGTGGATCCGCGATAAAGTATACTTATTGAGAATAAATTACAGACGACTGCTTATGAATTTGGATCGGGTCTCGGGCGATAAGCAACACGCAACGGATCCGCAGTGGATCGTTGGTTAATATAAATCGCGACACGCAACTCACGCGCGCGGCGTTTGCATAATGTGGACGCGTTAGTATCCGCGATCTATCCGCGCGCGCGAGAGAGCAGAATTAATCTTTCGCGGCACAGAAACACTTTTTGCACGGAGAAACGAGATGTAGAACGAGCCTACATCCCAGCCGTATATAAAAGGATGCAAGAAACACCGGCGCGCGGCGCGGTCGCGCAACTGTCGCTAACTGTATCGGTTTCTATGTTAACGCGCGCTGCGAACGATTCGAAGAGAGATCTCTCGCATAAAACAGCGGCTATAAAGCGGCGAATCGTTTCCGAAATGCTTGCTAACGCGAAGCCACAACATGCCTGAATCCGCGGCATGCGGCATCTCTCAATTTGTACACGGTCGTATTTGCCGGTCACGATTAGCAACCACGTTGTGGCGAAGACAGATGTTTTTTCTGGATGACTTGTCAACACTTATACAAATGCTCTCTCGTCGTCGAGGCCGCGCATGCCACGAGCAGTCGTTTTACCTATACCACATATTACACGCGGGTAAAAGTAGTCCGGCGATTATATTGTGCGAAATTTCGGCAGAAAATTCGACGAGGGAGCCTCTTCGAGAATTCGCCGAAGGTGCGAAACGCGCGTTCGCGTGCATGCCATAATAACGACACTCTTGCGGCCGCAAATTACGGGCACCGCGGCGCATACCAATCCGACGTTCGTATTCACCTTGCGAGCTTCCTCTCTTGCAGCTACGCGTATATGTATATATATGTATATATACGCGAAATGAAGATATCAGAGCCCGCTTGGGCCCGTTGCGCGTTACCTCCTCACACGCGTCGACCTTTATTATAAGGTGCCCTTTAAACTCCGTGCTGCACGTGAGAGCAACCGCGCGCATAATTTTAATGCGTAAGGGTTCATTTCCCCGCACGTCGTACTCTCCTTCGCTGCTCGAGAGATGTACGTATAAAATAAAAACGTAATAATGTACGATAAAAGCCGTAGGAAACGCGGCGCGTATTACCCGTTTCGCCGGAAAGTATCGCGACGTCGTAATTCTTACCTCGTTGCGTCAATTATTCCGATTAAATTTAACGAAAGGATAAATGAGAAGTTGGATGCAATAACAGCGTGAATCGAGAGAAGGATGATCTGTCTCTTGGAATAAAATTCAAAATTTCCAAAGTAATTGTAATAAAGATGTAAGCCAAGAGTACAGTTCCGGTCTACACAGTTGAATGTGACAAGTAATTTAAATTGATGTTAACAAAAATCGGAGTAGCAGCAGCGATGTATGGTACATCGCCGTGTTATTACACGGAAAAAACAATTTTCATTTTGGATCCAGATCTGAAAATAATTTTTGTTCAATAATCAAAATAATTTTGTTGGAAATAATTGCTATCAAAATAATTACTAGAGCATCAAAACGTTTTATATCAATGCTTATCATTTATACATTCCAACAAAATTTTTTGATGGTTCAACAAGAATTAATTTTTAGATTTGTATTTAGCAAAATTTGTAAACCTATCAACAAAATCGTTCTTTTCGTGTATATAAATATTATAATAGACGTTGAAGCGCGCTCGACTTTAGACTGCTGTTGCATCCACTCTCTGCGATTCTTCGGGGAAACGGGCTTTTCTCGGAGAGAGTCGTCGGATTCGATTTTGTTGAATCGCGTGCTCCGAACTGTAGGAGGTCTGTGCACAAACTTACCATGACCGGTGCACGTGTGCGCCTATATGTCACCTAATGTCGCGGTTGTTGGCCGTTCAGCAGGGGCATGTCTGACGAAGGAGGCAATCGGAGCGGCTGGCGTCGAGAGCGAAACTTGAAATCGTTGTCTTTCTCTTTTTTTCCTCTCTCTCTCTCTCTCTCTATCTCTTTCTCTCGTCGTGTCGTTGCACCCTACACAGTCAACACGAATCACACCATACATAAACACATACACACAGAGAGATACGCGCGTGCATACGCCTCCACTTTTCCACACACAAGACACACGGACCTTCTCTTGCGGTTCGCGCGCAAAATTTTCTGCCCTTTTTTTTCGAATCTCCGATACAATCCGGCGGAAGACTATCCGTAGGACTCCCGCGCGATCGTCAGCATCGGTGGGATTCGAGAGGGATTTATCAGTAGGTCAATATAGGCAAAGGGCAACGCCACCCTCTTTTGGCAGAAATCACGTTTTCGCGGCGATGGGTTCGTTCTTTTTTTTTAAGAAAGAACGGCACGAGAACGCGTGGCCGGCTCTGACGCGTACTACGATCGCCAGCCAGTTAAGAGGAAGGCCAAGAGAAGCGACGGATTTTCAACCTGGCGGACACCAGACTGAGCCCGCGACCGGCAGGTAGGTGAGCTGTTGCCCCTCCACCGATCGCCCGGTGCCGCACCACCACCGGTCGCCGCTCACCGTGTTCTCCATTCTCATTTCCTTCGCTTCACTTGCCTTCGCCGCTCCTTCTACTTCTCTCATTCGTCCTCCTTCTCCTCTAGCCGCACGTACGCGCGTTTCCCGCAGAGACGGCCGTGCCGTCGGGCGAACTGGGTGACCGCGCGCTGTGTGAAAGTGCATCATCGCGTTCGACTCCTATAACGATCGCACTCGTGTGCATCTTCGTAAACGCTCTCGTCGAGATCCTTGGGCTGCTAAGACCTCCCACGCAAACGCTACAAAACGCAACAAAAGCGAACAGAGAATTGCATAAATAAATCATTTCCTTGAATCGTCGGAGGCATCACTCCCGTAAAAATCTTGCTCAATTATTTCCGCCAGATCGCGATAGATACTTCTCGCATCAGTAAAACCTCTGTACCTGCGAATCTCATTCTTAAATTGCAGAAAAAATTCGAGCACAAAAATTTAATTAAAATATCGTTAAAAATGCATGTGCAAAAATGCGTCTTGCGCTAAAGAGAACTAGAGTTTCATTAAAAAAATATTTTTCTGATACAAGAACTCTTCTGCTGAGGAAACGCATCGCGGCTTCTACGTTGAACTGCAATTAACAATTTACAAAGGCCTCGTGTTTGTGAGAGACTTTTACACGCGCAAAGGCTTCGTATTAGATTATAAGAAAGCTATAAGATTTCATGAGATCTCGTATATAGAAGTTAAATATCTATAAGCGCTTTATCACCGAAGCCCTTGTGTGTACAATGGCTCGCTCAATGAAGTAGAACCCCGTAGTATTCATTAGTAGCAAGCAGATACGTTGCCTAGGGAACTGTTAGCTCTAAAGCCGCCTCTGTCTCCCTCCGTATGCTCATACCGCGGCTTATTAACGCACAAGCGGTAGACCATAGCCATCATGTTCTATCTGCGTTAACGAGATTACGTCCCGCATAATTATATGCCTTTCGGTGAAGGATTATTACGGTCAAATTGTATGCGGCTACGAACAATTCCAATCTATGCATAAAACCGTAAAACAGTTATAAATATTAAGATGCAAAATGCAATCGCTCATTATTTCACTGTTACGTTCATATATATTCAGTGATGTTTAATCATTAGTTTAATGTTGCTTTTTTTCAATTAATTTAACTTTGAAAGAAAATTTACAAATCTACAAAATCAATTTGGCTTTTCACATATGTGAAACGTTAGACCTCGTTAACTGCAATGAGGAAAACACAGGTTTTTGCTGTCGCAATAGGCAATGTATACATTTATAACTGTAGATATGATTTTATTGATGACCCTATGGACAAAATTAATGAGACGCAATAACAGCGTCCGGCTTTTCATCATCATCTTCTTCTTCTGGTTCTAGCGCACTATCTTCAGCCAGATACTGTTCAAAGTCAACTTTAAACAGTTCTGGCGATGGCGAACATGTAATACGAGTTCTGTTACAGCATAATAATCGTAATTATTTACTTGTGTATACAAACGTGATTTTAATTTAAATGATTTTGAATAATGTTACCTTGTGATAAAAGGTCCCGGTCGACGTGGCTTCGCGTTATTGACGTCCTTAATAATGGCAGCAAAATTCTCTTCCAACTGTCTCATCTCCATATCAAGCTATAATAAAATTAATCGATTAGTGACTTTTTGCAAGCCATCTCTGATAAATCGTATAATGGGTACCAATATCCATTTGTAATAAAATGCTCTTGTATAAATATAAGAATAAATAACATGAAGAATTTACCGTTCCAAATGCAATATTGATGGTTCCATAAGACTTTACAACGTCATGCGGCATTCCTGTATATTTTATGCCCATTAGAAATTTCGTTACGAGCATTTTTATATCAGTACTCAGAGTACCTAATAGAACAAAAATCATATAATAAGGAAATCATATAATAAAGAATATAAAACGTTTATTTTAAAACTGTAGTAAGTTTAATATCATTTTTTAAAAATCTTTCACAAAATTTATATTTTAAAACCGGATTAATAACACCTTTAGTTCGTACGTTGTTTATAACACATGTTACTAGCAAAGCATCATTTATATAAACGCTTGAATTTCAAATATTGCTAAATTATATACTTTTTGTATTACTAATGCGCTACTACATGCATACTACTTTCTACACTAACAATGCATTTATGCAGTACGAATGAAATGCACTCAAAATATCATAAAGATGAAAATTTCAAAGTATAATCACATATTTCCACTAACCTGATTGAACGCCGGGAAATTTTTTCCTCATAAGCCCCCTAATTAGCAGCAAATCAGGCAAAATACTTGGTTCTGATACAATAATGTCGTATTCTTTCAATGAAAATTCTCCTTTCTGAAATAATAAAAATTTTACCATTTTTAAAAGACACAACATTTGCAAACTTGTTATATGATGTTACGATACGTACAGCATGCGACAAACGCGATCGTAAATGTGTTACAAGGAACAAGTAACCTCACCTGAATCTGTTTTATCAATTGTTTACCACCGGCGAAATGAGCTCCAGCGTTTCTCGCAATATCCTCCATTTCGGAACTCTTACAGAATGCCAGTATCTTTCTGTTTTGACCATGATCGAATGCATGCGGTAGGCATGCAATTCGTGTGAAAGCGTCGACAAATTTTGTCTTTTTTACACCCTGATAACACATGATTACATGATTTAGCACCATCTTCTGTATGCACACATCATACATCTCGTATAAACTCGTTTCTTTTCACCTGCATATCCAATTCTATAAATGCGTTTATAGATGCATTTGGTAAATTATATATAGTGGGATGATGCGTCTCGCGATGGCCCTGCACTGCTTCCTCAAACGAATTAATTTTCCATTTGTGAAATTTTGAAATCCATACATTATCTATTGGTTCGGGCTTCTTACTATCGTCTTGTATAACATCTTTCAACTCCAATTTCTTGTTTTTGGTCTCACTGGTATATCACAAGAGAATAAAATTGACATTAATATATTAATATTGACATATATTCTCATATATACGTTTAAGAGACATGCTTACATTCTTTTCGCCCCTCTCTGATCGTGTGGAATGAAGCCTACTTTTTCGATGACCACCTTGACTTTCTTCTTTCTCGCTTTTTCTCTCGTACCTTTCCTAGCAGCATAGTTTCGCGATTGTAGAAAACTGACAGGATAAAAATTAAGACACGCCGTGTGCCTATACGTCGCAGAAAGATTTTTCAACAGCCAACCTGCAAAATAGAACTGCTTGTAAAAGGTCTAACATCGTCTTAATTTTGATACTGAGACCGAGTAAAAAATATAAATAAAGGTTATATACAATGATCAAGCTTATGAAGAAAAGTACCCGTTACGAGAGATCTTATTCGTTAAACAAACAAAAAAACATTAATCATATCTGATTATTATTTTTCATGTACTGTCAACGGAATATTAAAAAGAATAAGTCAAAGTTTGTAAGTACCATTAGTCGCAGCCGCCATATTTTATTAAGCAGACGGAGGAAACGAAAGTGACGAAACGGAACACGAACAAATTGTTTCATAGATGGCGGCTGAACTCTGAATTAGGGACATTAGGGTGCGTTCCCACTGAGCGCGCTACCGGTCACACGTCCGCATTATCCGAATTGACCAATCAAAACATTTCATTTTATAACCTAAACGCGATGCGTCGCGCGGCAAATGATGCAAAAGATATTTTGTTTTATTAATTCGTGACGCGCTCATCATATTGAATTTATAATATACATGCATTAATTGTATAAAAATAGAAAACAAGGAAATGATACAAAACTGAAAATTACACTTAACATTATATATGTATAAATTTTTATGTAAATTTTATTATCACACATATCTACTATTTATTTTAAAATTATATATATACTAGGCAAGGTGTATTTTTATATTTTACAAAAGAAGTATATCTAAATGTTCGCTCAAGATCTCTAGCACGATCGAGTTAATTGCAATCCAAAAACAGATTGCAATACTCAATGCAGAATATAACAGCTTAATGTCACGAATGTTTAATACCAGTACCTATTGCCAACATTTATCACTTCCAAAATACGTATGTACATATTAAGTACATTTCAAAAAGGAGTATAAAACCTCGCTTAACTAAGCTTATTCCCTTTCAATTGTTTGTTATAATACACTATACATACCACGCTCTATCAACAATGTGCTCTCACTTCCTGGATTCGCATCCGTTGAGTTTTGGCTACTTTTACTGGAATTCTTTCTCGCGTCGTCTTTCGAGTTGTTACCGCTGTTATCTGCTGACTGCGCAACTGGCTCGGGTAACGTGCTTTGTGTGCCTCGCCAAGGGCCAAGGAGCATAACCTAACCTAAGACATAACCTTAAAACATGGAAAGCACGGTGAAAAAATATTATCAACAATATATTTTGAATTAAATACCTATAAACGTTGTATATAAGTATTATATATCCGCGCATTTTTCCGACAACACGTCGGAGCATTTCGATAGCGAGATAAAAAAATTTTAATGTAGAATGGATGTTTCGTATACGCGAATTAACTATTTCTTTGCCTAATGGAAAATAACTCTTGACGAGATTATACGAAATGACAAATCGCATCAGAATTATGCGCGCCTCGAAACAATAGCTCAATGTCCAAGACAAGGTTAAGCAACAATGAAAAAACACGTTTTATTTCCATGTATAGTTGTCTTGCAGACACTTTTAAGTACAAAGATATCGTACGACAGTCTCGTCAAAAGCAATTCATACAATATATGCAAGGAAATATCATTCAATGCTTAAGTAACATATATACGTATATATATATATTAAGAGCATTGTATTTAATATCTATGTAATGTAACAGTTTTATACATAAGAAGACTTGTGATACTCTATTAGTTCCACTATTTTCGATCTATTATCTGTTATCTTTACATCAAAACCAATAGTAAAGCCGCCGAAATGAGTATCACGCTAATGTAACTTCTTCATTCACTCTTTCTCGTCCATATCCGTGATCCGTTTTTTGTGGCGATTAATAGCCTCCTGATGACGCTTGATTTGTTCCTCGTGGAATGAGATCTCGTCGTGTAGGCTCTCTCGCATCTTTTGTAACTGCTCCTTTTGCTGAAATAAAATTTCAGACGTGAAAATAAACAAAATCATTGATATGAAATGGTCAACCAGAGAAATATACACTGACCAGGTTATAGAAGTATTGGTCTTCGTGGGCAGCTTCCATTTTTCCAAAAGAACCGCCAGCATCACGAATAGTACCACCGCCACCTCCTCCCTTGCCAGCACCCGAACCACGTTCTCCAGCCATTCTCACCTGACTGTAACAAAGAACGTCATTTCAAATATATAACGAGGCATTGATACAACTGCGAGAAGCTCTGCTATTTATTATCAAGAATAAAATTTTATTCAGAGGTTATGTCAGACACTACACTCTCCGCCTACCATTACATAATTTCGATATGACATCTACACAGGTCATGTCACATATCTGTAACGCACTGAAAAGATATACGGCTTGATTATTTGTACTAGTGAGAAGATACGATACATTTTTAAGTTCGAAAAGGAGACGATCGCGGTATATTACTACGAATAAAGGCAATCTATGTTTGGGACGGAAAAACGCCGGATATGAAGCATGAATTAAAAACACGATCAACAAATCGTTCGAAACAATTCATTCTGAAGCTACGAAGCTTTTCAGATACCTCAACGCAGAGATGTTCCGCGAAAACGTAATTGCTCGTTGCATTTTTCCAATCACGAAATATTCGGTATCAGAAGACTAGCGAGGACCTGGCAAGTCGTCAGCTGGTAAATGATATCCGAGTCATGAACGAAACACTGTTCTTAGAACGAAACTCAGCCGTAAGTGCATGGCATCGTGGCGCTTACGTCGGAAATATTGCAGACTTTCGTCAGATTTAAACACAATTACCTTCTCTGTGTGTGTGTGAGCGATTTTGGCCAAATTTTACTTAATTTATTTAAGTAATACCTTGTTAATGTGGATAAAGATTAATTTTACTTGTCGGACAAATGAAAAAAGAATTAAAGATTAACAAATGACACAGCTAAAAGAATGTTGCTACAAGCAATTGTGCCGGTTGAATCTATTGTCGATTAATAAATTTAATTGGTTAATCAAAATTAATCCAGACCCCACCTATAGTATTCATTGGCTCGATCCTGCATCAGCTGTTTCTTCAGCTCGGACGTTTTCAGTTCATTGACGGCGGTCTGCTTCTGTAGTTCCGCGCGCTCCAGCTCGATATGCAGCATTCGCAGTTTGATCTCGTGCTCGCGTTGAGTGGACTTGAAGATCCACATTGCCCTCTGCATCGATTTATCCTTGTCGCAGGCTACCGAGTCGTCGTTCCAGTCGATGGGTAACTCGTTCCTCGTCGCGCCGTCATTGTGCTCCGCCGCGGCTTGAAAGCAAAAGTGACAAAACGTTTCGCCATTGTAAGACCTCGTCGCACGTGTACGTCGCACGCGTTGGATATGAAAACAAACAAACGTGGCTCGAGTACCATCGTCAACGCGGGACGTCGACACGCTGTCCGGGCAGGTGATTTTATGCTCGACAAGATCCACAGGCTCGTCGTTAGTCGTGATCCTGGGACGCTTTTGCGGTAAGAAATTACTCTCCGATACTTGTATCGACAATTCGCCGTGACTTATACTCTCATCGTCCTCGCTGTCGCTGTTAACCTCGATCTTAATCTCCTGTGCCGGATGCCCTGAATAATCATTTCTATAATTTTGCGCGATTCTTCGACAACGCGGGGGGAGGGAGAAGGAAAAAAAGAAACCGCGCGATAGTCGCAGTGTATTCCAACCTGGCGTTTCCGTGGGTAACGTCAGCTTGTCCAAGATCGCATGTATCGAGATCCGATTAACCCGACTTGAATTCTCGTTATCTTGACTACTGTCGTCGGAACGATCGACGGTATTCTCGCAATCGTTCTTACGCACGCTCTCCATCAACCGCCACACTTCGATCGACAGATTCGACGGGCGGGATTTGGCGGCCGATTCCGGTCCCAGGGTGCGCATCTGCGCGCGCGAACAACGGCGCGGGGGGAAAAGAGAAAAAGAGTTTAGAGTTTAGAAGGAAGGAAGCGCGCGTTAGTCTCACGACTAACGCATAATTATTTCGTAACGATCTAAAAAAACGCGCGCGCGGCCGCACCTTTTCGGCGTACGTGTACATCTCCATCCTCGCCTGCGCCTTCATCCTCCGCCACTGTTCTCTGATCCTGGTGATGTCCCGATCCGCGGAGAACCGGCCGCGGAACGCGCAGTAGATCTGCTGCCAGGCGAGGGACTTGGTCGCGGACGCGGCCGCGTCGATCTTCTTGTTCTCGATCGCGTTCACGTGGTGCTTGATCAGGGCGAACAGCGCGCTCTTCTCCTCGGGGATCCAGTTCTGCGTTCTCTCCCTTTTTTTCAGCAGCACCGTGGTCGTTTCGCCCGTCGCGGACATTCTCGTCGTTGCCTTTTTCGCGATCGCGCGTTTGTCTCACTCAGCTTCGCGGGCGCGGAGCGAGCGCGCCGACTTTTGTCTGCAAGCTAATCCACAGAGCTAGTCCGATCCGCGTGTATACAAAATGTTTCTCGTACCGTTGCGCATTGATTCGCCGCTGTTTCGCGGCCCCCTGTTTGCTTGTTTAAGCGCGGTTTTAGAGCTGTCAGCTGTTTAGTTGCTACCGGCGCGCGGCGCGTCCTCGATGGTACGAGTGCCTACCGAGTGCCTCGAAAGTCGCCGCGATTATATGTTTCCTCGCTTATTCGGAGTAATCGGAGTTACGTGTGTGTTTGTAAATATATCCCTTCGTTCGCGCGCCGAGTGTGTGTCCCTTGTTGTTTTGGTTTTTTTCGTGCGAGAAGCGCAGTGAGTCGAGCGTTTTTTTACGTTGTCCGTAATTGTCTTAACGATAACAATTTCGTTTTAATCGGAATAAATTTATGAAACGTTTTCGCATCGCTTTACACGCGATATTTCGGTATATCGGATTAATTTCGTCGGACGAGGCGTGTGAAACACGAGTGACATTGGATTAACTTGGCGGAACGAACGCTCGAGAGAGAGAGAGAGGTGAACCAAGGCGACTTAAACCCGAACTAAGGGACGACTAAACGTCGGCCATTTTGGCACGGTACTAGCTAGAACGCGCTCGATACTAACAAATCCTCGGTTGATAGGGTGGGGACGAGAGAGGAAGCCCTCCGACGAGATGAGGAGGACGGGAAGGGAGAGAGAGCGAGAGAAAGAGAGAGAAGGAGGGAGAAAGAGATATCCGCGACGTTCCGCGCAACGCAAACATTGTTTCGTTTCGTTTCGCGATCTGTCGTCGAGTCATATTGCGCCGATTCCAATATTTCCATCGTTTTGCTGCGGACGCGACGCGACGCTACGGTTCCCCACTCTCCGCCGAGTGTGCCACCACGTGCTGCCTCTTTTCCCTCCGATTTTCGACTCCTATGCTCCGGTAATCGTCCGTAAAGAAAGATTATCTCATTGTCAAACTCTCGAACTGCAATTTTGTAAATCAAATTCAACTAGATGATGTTTACAGACGAGAACAACGTCTACGTAAATATATAAAATTTTAATAAATCAAAATAATAATGTAGATAGATGAATATAAAAATAAATAAGATTTTTCCAATTTGTGTATAATTAACTCTCACTGCTTGCTCGCTCTCCTTCTGTTATCAATGATGGGATTTGTCTCCTCACGTTTTAGCAGCACGACTCATATGATCGAAGAACGTAATAGCGTCGTTTATTATTCGTCGTTTCTGCCTTCTCATAAATCTATCAAAAAAAACTAACAGAGAAACGCGCGACCGTAATCACTATTTGCAATTTTCTTTATTCTTGTTCTTTGTATTTCAGTTTTATGACGTCGGTTTGCGTAACGCAAGATTAAATTAGTCTCGTGTGTGGAGATTAACTTGACTTAACGTTCGCGCGAGAAGGACAAGTTTTAGTTTCATAAGAAAGATACGGTTGATGTGAGTTTACAAATTTATGATGCAGCATACTTGTTGCATAATTATATATTAAATAATAATAAAATTCGTTAATTTTAATTTTTGAAGCTTTTATTGACGTATTGGAAAAGCGTTAGCGTTGTGTTAGGTTTATCTTCGTGTTATCAATTCATTTAATCCGAAGAAATCAACGCGCTCTTATACGTAATTAATATTATAATAATAGGAAGATACGCGCCGCGATTGCGTCTCGCTCGATTAATTAATAAGCCGCCGCGATCGGTCTTGATGCTCCTCTTCTCCTTGTGCCGAGATATGCGGCGATATTCATCAGAATCGTCAGGAGCAACAATCCGGTAATATCCCACCAGAAATTCCCTTCGTTATATCCGTACTCCGATAAAACTTCCGTTCCGTTCGACAGACAAGGCAGGCCACGACTGACTGGACAATCTGCAGAAAAGAGAGAAAAATTAGTGTTAGTAAAACTCAATAGCCTGGAGATTTTATTTTATCTCACCAATATCTTCTATCTCCGACCAGTGTACTATCGATATAGCTTCGGTGGCGTAGTAAAACATAGAGGAATATTTGAGATATACTAGGTAATTCGGAAGAGTCCTGCGGGAGTCAATTTTTAATGGATGTGCGCGATGGAATTCTTATTCGTCGTAATGTCGACAGCGATTTTGTACTTACCGCAAATTGTAAAATGTACCCGCTGTCAAGAGAAACAACAAGTCGAGCGGTAGCATTACCGTGGTCACGATATCGATGTCGGCGATCCAGCTGGAGATTGCCATGCCGTACGCGATACCGCAGATCGCCGCCGTCGTCGTGCAGAGACAGTAGGAGCAGAAGCCGAGCAGCGAAAATTCGGAATGTAGCACCAAGTACAGAGCAGTCGTGAATAAAAGCGTTTTAAATGTCGCCTGGGGTATCTGAGGAATTCCCATCGAAACATCGTAATAATGTCGCGAACGTGCCCGCTTTTACGTAGCGTACGCCAAGTAATTACCAAGGCGAGAACGGTGGCGAGGTAATACGGTCCCGGCGCGTACACGGTACTTTCGCGCACGTAGAGAACAAGCTCACCGGGTAGCTCGTAAACGACGGAGTAGGCGATCGTAAAAATTACCTCGGAGATCGTCAAGTACAATACGCCCCGAGCACTTTGTATCCCCTCCTGTGTCGACGAATTAGTACCAGCGTAAAAAATATTTACGAAGACGATGGATAGCTACAAAATCACAGTTCTCTTTTACATTACAATTTTTTTTACCTTATATTTCTAAAATTATCTCGTTTCAATTATTCTAACCGACCCCGACTGATTTGTCAAGTAATATCTATATAATATTATATTATTAATACAGATATTATAATTATTAATCTTTTATTGTTGAGCATGTAGGAAAAAGTTAGATTAGAAACAACGAATTATATAGTTAAAAATTTTGCCACAAGCAATTCTACCGAGTTGATTAAATCGCCGATTATAAATTAATCGGAAATTTAATCAAAGTCACGCCAAGTTTTCTTTCTATCTTGTTACCGCGCAAGAGAACCACGCGATCCAGTTGTCGAAGGCTGTTCTCCTATCCCGCAGGAATGTTCTCCAGAGCAACCAGTAAAACTGCATGAACCATCCTGCTTTTCTACAATAAAGATTATCTGTGAAAAAAATTATTAGGAAAAAATTTGAGAAATTATGTTGTCATTTTATTTCAATACTTTTGAGGACTGGCGTGAAAAACCGAGACATTCTCGACTACGGGAATTTTTGAAAACGGCGATCGTAAGAATGCCTGATACAGCTCAATATTGCAATCTGCTTGATTCCTGCAGCGTGACAGAATGTTTACGTAATACTCAGACTCGTCGTAGTTCGTGGGGCATTGATAATCCTGGCTATGCATATAAATTATATCAATGCTGTACCATTATCAAGTCTAATTGCGGACGTTGGAATTTACCTCTCAAAAAAATCCGTGGCATTCCTCAGAGTTCCAAAGTATACAGATTTACCATCAGCCATTAATATTACATGACTGAATATATTGTATATTGTCATACCTGGTTGATGAATTGTGCAGAAAACCATGGTACCTTTCGAAGCAATTAATTTCAATGACTGCACGACGCGCGTTGCGGCGAAAGTGTCCAAACCTATACCCGAATATTTATTTACAATACGGGTAATATTACATTGATTATCAATGTAATATTAGTATAGTAATGATCGCGTGGTTTATGAAGGCGTAATAATATAAAATTAATAATATAAAAGAATAGTATAAAATTCATAGAAATTATTATTTTAAATAGATTTACATTCGGCATCACGACAATTAATGATCGACATGCGACAATCAAGATTTTCTATCGCGTATCATTTCGACCAATACTCACCCGTGGTTGGTTCGTCTAAAAAAAATATCTTCGGTCTCGTTAACATTTCCGTGGCTAGCGACAAGCGTTTCCTTTCGCCGCCAGATAGCTTAAATATAAAAGTATCGATGCACTCGTACAATCCGAGATCCCGCAGAAATTCTTCCCCCAAGGATTTTCTTTGTAGCACGCTACAACTATTTCCTATTTTCAAAGCGCCCTAAAAGGAGCAGCTTAAGACATTAGAAACAATTCATCGCGTATGAAAATTACAATAATTATAAGCACTATTTCATAGATTCTTATACGTATATATCTTTTCAATACCATGAATGACATGTGTTCTCTGGGTGTGAGTGCAGAAGGTAGAGCATCAAATTGCGATATGTAGCTCGATATTGTTGCCATCGTTTCTCGAGAAACATTATGCCCGTTGATCTTTACTGCGCCCGAAGTTAATTCGACCCTTCTCGCTAAAGCAGCAAGAAACGTAGTTTTACCGGCACCACTATAGAGAAACAAGTTTATGCATTCATAAATTTAGCGTGAAATAATCACAAAGACGCATATATTCTGCCATACCTCGGTCCCAGTATAGCGAACATATTACCAGTCTCTGCATATCCGGACACTTTACACAAAAGAAATGTCATTACTAATAATTAAATGCTATACATCTACTTATTCTATAGATAAGAAATCACAAATTTTAGTAAATTACATGAGCAATCGACATCTGACTATAACTTTAAATATATCAAATTTATTTTTTATTGTGCTTCAATATTAACAAAGAGAATTTTTACCTCCTTTTAGTATATTCAGTTTTACAGATTTTCTACGCGAAAATTTGCACCACAGTTCTTTCGAGCACTCTTCATCTGTGGCAGGCACAGTAACGATTAAGTTTTCCCAAAAAAGCTGAGAAAATTGAGAAGTCATCTCAATCGAATCTATTAGCTTCATCACTATAACTCACGTTATTCATCTTGCATCTTTAGAAACTCGAGTTACTATCGCGGGAATCTCTTAAATTTCAGTGACAAATGTGTCACTATCTCCGTTCTCTATTCCTTAATATTTCTTATCGTTGTTATCTAAAGTCGTATATTTATGAGATAGGTTAATTAGTAATTAGGCTCTGCGAATTTTGAATTACGTTCCTATTTGCGATTCCAAGTGAATATCACGGAAGAGAAGGATATGTCGATAATAGTAATGTGGGTATGAAGAAAAAAGTTTTGATAATGCTCTGATATAAACAAATTTAATACATCGTTTTGTAACTTATATCTATACAAAAAGAGCTAAAAGTAGGCAGGCAAGTTGCTATTATTACGGTTAGATAGTAATAATGTAATTTTAAATATATTATAATGCTTCGATAATAACATATGTGTATGTATATATAAATATATATATACACAATGTTCTCAATAACGATACATACCGCATTACAAATTATATTATATAAAAGTGCAAATATGCGAACATCGCTCGAAAAGTGACGATCATTATAATGTAAAATCTAAGTTATTTATTTACAATGTACGTTCTATACAGTTGTATATGCAGCTCTTGATATATATTGTACTTACACATAGATGTTTCTAGTAGGTAGATCTATATCAAGAACATTACATATCTCCGCATTTTTCTCTCGATTCTAGAAGCAATATATTAAAAATTCTTATTTTTCATTTTTCACTCTGAATTTCAGTTCAAATATTGCAAAGCTACTGATAACTTTATCTAAACACGTATTGTGTAAAACGGGCATTCGATGTTCTAATTACAATCAGCTGCCTTGTGTAACTAGCTGCGATTGTGCGAACGAAGGCACAATGTTGTCGACAATTGAATTTAATCAATAAAATAAACAACGAAATGGAAGTACAGGAAACGTATTACTATAAATACTAACGAAAAAAACAATCAAAACTGTATTTTGTTTTTATTGAATTTATAGTATGTGTATACGTGTGTTCAACTGAATTAATTGAGTAACAATAAATAGCATTAATAACGTTCTTTATCACATATATACGTACAAGATTCTTAATTCTCGCTGTTAATGATTCTAGAAGCAGAGTAGTATAAATGTAATTCTTCACACATGATTTTAAACAGAAAGCAGTGCTACATGCAAATCTAATCTAATTCATTTAAATTGCACGTGTCAATTAATTAAAAAAAGAATATACCTCGGTAATCTTGTCAAAGTCATTATCATATGCATCTCAAAATACTGCTTATAAGAATATAAAAAAATTTGTTTAGCTATTATGCTTAAATATAGCTTTTTCATGCTGTATATAAAAATGATTTTAATTGGTAAATTCAAATAATTTTCGTATATTATATATAAAAGATTCTCGCTGGCGAATAAGTAAATGCTCCCTGTTATGAAGAATGGCATAAAAAAATTATGACTCTCATGGCATCTACGAAGACATATTGAGGTTGACGAATGAAAAATCGTGACCGAGAACTTGTATTCGACAATTTGCTTATTCGTCAGCAGCTACAGGATTTTTTGGAGCTTGTCGGCGATTGATTCAGCGTGAATCTCTCGCCGTCTGCCTGCTCTTGAACACCGTTGTCTCTTATAACCTGATCGTTTTGAAGTATCTGAAACAAACATTTTACATATATTTGTTATCAACGATATTATCAATCGCTACATTACAATATACGCGCTGAGACATCAAATAAAGCAATAATAGCAATCGTTCGATCGCAAGTTTGGTATGCAAATGCCAGAGATGCTGATTGGTTTCAACGCCGATTAATTAATTATGCATCATATGTCGATCATTTCTAGGGTGAAAGACGTCAATGATTAATCCGTCGTACGTCACGCATAAGCGATAGACGTAGTAAAGCGTAAGCGATTGTGATGATATAAAGTATCTCAATTCAATATTAATATCTTACTTTTGAGTTAGAATTATTTACGACCGTGGTATTCTACTTTTAGGTGATCTGCTCTTTTATATATTTATTGTGATTTAATATAAAAGAAAAATAACGTGAAATATATCTCTTACTTTATTGACGAGAAATTTGGCTGCTTCCTCGATGTTAATATTCTCCTTCGCCGAGGTTTCGAACCAGCCAGAGAAGTTCTTCTCTTTACAATATTCGTCCATCTTTGCGGGCGAGTTAACCAGACCTTCTTTCTGTTGATCGCATTTATTTGCAAGCAGAACGCACGGTATCGGCGATCCGTCAGGAAGTTGCACTTTTGAATCCAGGTCCTGTTTCCATTTCACCACCGCATCTAGCGTCGCGCTTCTCGTTACATCGAATACTATGAAAGCACCTACGGCTTCTTTGTAGTAAACTCTAGTCATATTCCCGAATCTTTCTTGACCTAAACGGATCATTATAAAATCAAATATAAAAATTGAGTTTATTAAATATGTACATAATTCTAATATAAAATAAAATACTATCTATATTATAAATAAAGACGTTTAAATAAATTTAAAACTAAATAAAATTATATTATTTATATAATAATTTGGCTATGGGTTAAGATATTAATTAAATAACTTTAGAAGCATTTAAAATATCTACGATGTTTCTCAATAAATAGCAAGTGAAAAATACTATACGCATATATGAAACGTTAATTTATCATATGAGTGTTATGTTCTATTATTAGCTCCAAAAAAGAAAAGTGTTGAAGCATTGTGTTACTATTGACCTGCGATATCCCATAACTGCAGTCTGATGATGGTGTGCGGATCCCAGTTGAGTACTTTGAGCGCGAAGTCGACGCCAATCGTCGCGCGATAATGTTGGGAGAAGAATTGATGCACGTATCGCTTAATGATAGATGTTTTCCCCGCTCCGAGCTCGCCGATTACTAATATTTTGTACAAGTGCTCCCGTTTCTCGCTTACTCCGAGGTTCGGTGCATTATTCGACGACGACTGAAACAATAAAAGAACATACAATAAATATTTAAATGTGAGACACTTTCTCCTGAAAAAAAAAACAATATTTTTGCAAGATGTTATGCATTTGGGACGCTGCTTTCTCCTTCCATTTTTGTAGACATATTATTTGGTAGATAACAGCCAACGACACTTAATACGTTTTATTACTCGTAAAAAAAATACATCTATGACAATATATCACAAATAATTTAACAATTATTAAGTATTACTTATATAATTAAAGAATTTGTTAGAAACGCAAACACTTGCGACGTACCCCGAGCCATTTCCATTCTTTCGGCTTCACCTTCCACTTGCCAAAATCAAACGTTTCTAAACTTCGCCAAATTTTTAATTCCACGTCCATGTTCACGCGCGACTTTCTAAATATACGCTTCTGAGAGATTGAAGATAATTACGTTCCTCGCGAATGATCTTGCTGCTGCAACTCGCGTGAGCGAAATGAACTGAGAGACTTGCATGTGAGAGAATTATTCCGGTCGTGGGGGACCGCACAAGAACTATAAATACAACAATAAGCCTTTCGCGTCTTAATGAATGTATTATCGGCAATCTAAATAATCGTCATCGAGTTCGAAGATCCATCGAGAGTGGTAGATCATCTTTCAAAATTTCTGTTTTGACGATTTATAATGATAAATCTTTGAAACTTAAATTATTTCTATTCGATTCTTCTGATTTCGATCGACTTTGATTATCTATGCACGCATTTCTTTGCCTTAGACGCGACACGATAGAACGCGGTGAAACCACGTAATTCGAAACTCTGTAACAGACGAGGGCACACGAGATCCAAAGAGGCAGAAATATAAGCGGATCGGTATCCGAAAGATACCGCAAACGCGTACCACAGCGTGTGACTGCAGGATTAGTACAGGAGAGCCGCTAATGCATTTAATTCTTTCGCGTCTAATATTGGGATATTAAATAGATCTATAATCTCTGTCAAGAACTTTTTCTACGAATGTATATAGATATCGCAAATTGTTCTCTTTAAGATTTCATAAAAATGAAATTTAAAGAATAATTTTAATTTTAAATTTTGGTCCTTTCTCCTATTAATTCTACATACAGCTGCAAATGCATCTATCTGGAATGATCCAGGCTATCATATTTCCAACACGACGAAGTTATAGTATCATACAATCGCGTAATATATGCGTCGTATTTTGCAATTCAATATCGCTATTCAATGCCACATACGTCGAACGTTCGTATCATTAACAGAAGGCAACTCTACCGCTCCTAGGCGATGGATCTCACCTCAAGAGGGTCCACGGCTCCCAGCATGGGTGCCATGGCAGCGTAAAGTCTACGATAATTGCTGCTTGTATCGTTGTAATCTTCCGAAAAATCTTCCTCGTCGAGGGTGTTGCCGAAAGTGTCGGAGAATGTATCGAAGGTCTTCACGCTGATATGCCGAACTTTCTTCTTCCTTTCCTCTTCTCGTTGTTGAAGAAACTCGTTGCTGTTGGTGCCCGATAGATCGTCACGATCGTCGCGGGCGTTAACGTCGATCACTGTCTCGTCCGAGCGCGTCGCGTCCTTGGATGTCGAATCAAAGAAGCGTCGCTGAAATATCGCTCGTTTCTCTTCCAGCAACGACAGCTTACGGCGAACCTCGACGGGTGACGATGTCGATGGCATACATTCCGAGGAATCTGAATCATATTTCTTCACCTTGCCTCTCCTGGTCACTAGATCTTCCGCGAGCTTCGTCTCGCTACGCTCCGGCCATCTCGACAACGCGTACGGGAGCGTCGAGATGCATTGCTCATCAGAACGCGAGGTGTTATCTCGAGTCTCCTGTTGCGAATATCGTTCAGTGTCTGAAGAAATTTTAAGATGTGTGACTATTAACAAGAATATGTTTACGATTCGAATAATCTTAAATAGCTTTCAGCGATTACAACGTGCAGCTGTACTTATACGATTGCCAATAATCGTGCAGTTCTAAGCTTGTTATTGAGAGCAGATCGAGTATAAAATAGGAAGTAACGAAATCGGCATAAAAAAGAAATAAAATCTGGAGAGATGTAACTGCGTTTTCTAAAAATAAAATCCAGATATATGTATACATATATAATTTTAAAAATGCACACACACATATGTTTCTAGATTTTACTTTTAAAAAAATCAAATATATCTCTGTTTATTTTTTAAAAATATATTAAAGCGGCTCAAAGAAAATATCGTTAAGAAGCGAATATCATGAAATCTTCCGCCTTTCAGTTTCGTGCAGATTCGCGAGCTATCCATACAAAGCTCACCCTGTTGACCAGTTTCCGCAAAGCTCTTGATGGTCAGCGACGGCGATTTACGTAGCACTACGCTGACAGTTTTCGTCGGTTTCTCGTGTATCTTTTCTGGTTTCTTAAGCTCCTCTTTTACCCTTTCTAGGGTGTCATTTTCCTTCCTCGTGGCGTATGTATGAATGGGCGACTCTTGCGAGGATTGACTTTGCGATCGGCTACTGTTACCACCCTCCGGGGTATGTCGTGGCTCTTGCTGTTCCGAGGACATGCGAAATTTATTCCAGCTCAGCTTGCGCACCAACGAGTGTGACTTCTTTTTCTTTTTCTTCAGGGTCGCGCTCGAAGGCGCATCGGTCATCAATTTCGACTCTTTCTCGCCCTCGAGCTGTTGCGATTGCTGCTGAGATACCTCTGAAGCGGAAGAGAATCGCAAGTCAGGAAAAGTAGTCGTTCGAGAAACTGTTGCTCTCGGATATGAACAAAATAAACGCGTCTCTCTCTCTCTCATTCCAATTTTACAATTAGCAATGTTGAAGAAAAATCAAGAAATTAAGACTTGAAAACTAGATCCTAAAAAGATATCTGATTCAGAATAAATGATTGATGCATTCTTCATTCGATCGTTGTCTATCGAAAGAGAAATGCAAAGTTCATCAAACACGTCGGAATTAACCTTTATCATGCTGTTCTGCCTCGAGGGAGGAGGACACGTCGGTTCCACGGTTCTTCTTCTTGATTTTGAATAAACTACCCTCGCGGAAACTGCTCTTCAACGCACCGAATTTACTTCTTTTTCGATCGTCCGCGTTGCCGCTAGAAGAGAGAATCGCGACGCTGCCGCTGGTCAGGGTATCGAGACTGGAACTGCTGTCACCCACGGTGATGTACTCGCCGGAGGTGCTGGCCACGATTGACTTCTGCTTCTCCTCCTCCGACGAGGAGCATGCGATCACAGTGTCGGGCGAGCTGCCACCCTCGTTTGTGCCACTCTCGTTGCGATCCATTTGCGTGAGGAAAGGAAAACGCGGAAAATTCGTCACGATATAGAATGTGAAACAAGCGGATGAACGGATGAATGAATAAATAGAAAAAAAGATATGATGAGTTGTGTAGGGCCGATTTTTTTATTTCGCTTTTATTTCGCTGTACAAACGTTTTTCCATCTCACTTTGCTCGCAAAACACTATTTTGGCTTCCCTACCGCTGAGAAACCTTAAAACTCCACACCGGATTCGATCAGCCTCGAACGGATAATTCACTTAACCCTCTTCTTTTTTTTCTTACAACATACGCACAAGTTTCCTCTTTGAAAATTGTGAAACGACTGAAGAGAAACCCGAGGACCGAAAAATAACTTTAGTCAACGACATTCGAAGGGAGTCTCTTAGCTTGTTAATTGTCTGTCGATGAAAGGTTCAATAGCCTGCTATTCAGATGTATGAAATTTAAATGACGGAGCGGGCCCGCAGGTTAATTTATTTTGCTTTTATAGGATGGACAGGCATTTCTATAGCTGTTAAACAACGATATAAGGGAAAAATCTCAGGACTGTGAATTAACACAAATATTTTGTGCAATCACTAAATGAACACTTATGTATAATATTTCTCAAGAAATTTTTGCAATGCACTGTAGACACTACATTAATACACGTCTCGAAACACTAATTAAGTTTAAAAAGCATAATGATGAATGATAATGAATAAAAAGAAAAATTAAAATATTAGAAAATTATGTAAGATCGTTGAAGAAACTGCAGGCTCAACGGCGTCCTGAGCTGCACTACATGTTAATATAAAAATATGAGGGGCTAATGAGGGTGGGGCAAGCATCTCCCACCACGTCAGTTAGCATACTACTACCGGTCTCTTTTTTTTTTTACTGTATAAAGAATACGCAGCGGATTCTTGTGTAGATATACCGCATGCACCTTGTAATTATCTTATTTTTTTGCCTTTAAATATATCTATCTATATTTATGCAATTATTATAATATATATTGTTGTCTTCGGATTCATATGAATTCTGTCTATAAGCTTGCCAAAATTCCGTTTCAGCTAGGTGTTGGACTATATCGCGCGCAATAAACACATTATATAAAGTCCACTATGATTCGATGATAAGCGCAAATAACGCAAATGCGAGCACATTATTTACGTATTTATATGCGTAAATAGTACGATGCGTAGCGAAATAACATACACAAATTTCATCATCTTTTACGACGCGTCTGTTAAAAATAAAAATTCAAATTTTCGTTCAGTCGTTCAAGATTATTTAAATTTTCAAGTCTCACGCACACACACCATTGGTATACCGAGTAAAATTTCAGCGACTCGCAGTACTCCGATCCGAAAAGTTGGAGAGATCGTCTCTTTCCGATTCTAATTTCCGATTTTAATGCGACGTGATGTGCATTGCAACGATTTATAAACCATCCGATGGAATTTACGCGCCTCACAGGCGCATTTGATTTTCTGATTAAACCGGGTCTTTGTGCCGTTATTCTAACAATTAATTAGTGATGGATCAGCCGCTGATAAAGAAATAATGCGATAATGTGGCACTAATGCGAAGATTAGAGTGAATCTTTTCAATTCGTAATCTTAATTGGCCACGCGCGATTTATACGCGTGCGTCGTCAATTCATTTCGTTTATTCTTCTTTTGCGTCGTATATGATGCATCTCAATATTTCTCAATCTCTATGTTAATCTTTTAAAAGATTTCGATTAAAATAACAGAAGCGATTTTTACTATTTATTCTTTATTTTAATAAATATCACAATACGCAGGACATAAATTGAATTCAGTATCTGACTTATTATTATTATTAATATAGTAACAATATAATTACATTAATTTATTATTATTATATTAATTATTTGAATTTCAGATAAGAGCTACATTTCGCCTGTATCGATTTACTTTAATAACACCTTAATTTATATCTTCTTATGTCATTAAATAAATATTATGGAAATTAATAATTATTAGCAGTTAATGTATAAAAACAAATGCATTTGCAATATAAAGATTCTCGGACAATTCCGAAAATACAACGAGGATTGTTAAGCGTGATTTTTATAATGCATCAATGATCAACTCGCGCGCGCGAACATAGTTATTCTACCGAATTATTACTTATACTATTACATTGTGCATACATACGTACAATGAACATGGGTCAGTTTCCTTCCATAGAAAGTGCGTACAAAGGAATACGTGTAGCCATTGCGTGGCAAGACTCACAAACCGCCGGTATAGAATGACACGCAGGGGAGAAAAGTTGCAGGACATGTTGGTCAACAATCTCAGGCATTCATGACGTCCTTATACTTACAATAGACTTATAACGTGCGGTTATAAAGACACGCAGGACCCTCTGCGTGATTATCAAGAAAAGTCAGAAAAGAAAGGAACATTTAGAAAAAAGAGAATTTTTGTCATTTTTTTTCTAAGACGGTCCTTTTTCTATTTAATGATAATGTCTATATATGTGGTGTAACGCTTAAAAAAGGCTTTTGTGTTCGATTTCACGGCGAACAAAACGAAGTGATATAAATTAAGGTTTTGAAGTTATAGACTATCCGTCATCTTGCGACTCAGCATTGATTTTCATCTTACAATTAGAAATGACCATAAATTTTCATAAAAATTAGCAAAGTTTTTTTTCCTAATGTCTCTTTACTTTTTACTTTTCCCTCATATATCGTGATTACGAATCTTTTCAAAATATCGAATCAGAAAATAAAACGGACATAAGTAAAAACTGTAAATGTAAATTAACGATACTGTTCGTAAGAAATAATATTTTTTCTATAGCGCGCACACGATTCGTGGAAAGAACGCTAACAGGAAGAAGCCTTCCTTACTTCCCATCGACGTAACGTATTACGTCACGAGTAAAATCGACGTTCCGGTAGTTAGTGACGAATTATATATCTAATCTAATTGTAACATCCTACACAGAGCCAAAGACAGATCTCATTGCGATAATAGCGTTCCAGCCAAGTAAGTCGGAGAAAGTATCTCTCGATAATTATAGCAACTTGCGGTTGGAAAAAAAGATGTATATCCACCACAACGGGGGCAACGTTTTCGTGAGAAATCGCGTTACGATGCGTCCGTCGAGGCGCCCACAGGTCGCGTAATCGACAGTGAAAGGTGTTTTTAATAAACGCGATTAAACAGCTAGTCTTCACGCTTAAGTCTTAAAGCGCGACCAACAATAAGATTCACGTGACTCGCGCGTGGCACGAGAGAAAGCAGATAGACCCACCTTTCTCGCGGCTTTAGCTGCCTCCTGTTTGCAATTCTCGCTGAAATTCATATTAAGATCGAGATATAGGTGATTATTGTTTAACAGAAGCGCGGGCGGCTCCATTGGCGGTGGATATGCTTCCTTTTTGTGCCTCAAGCGTCTCTCGGTTCTCTCTTGCCTCGTGCGCAGCACAAGCACCACGTTTCGGTCCAGCATATTTAAATTTGACCCGGAAATCTCGACCGGAGACTCGAGACGGAGATTTATTTACCCTTCCGTAACACGCGCGAGGTCCAATCGGATTTTTCGTAACACTGCACTATGGATTTAACCTGCACTGCGTAGCCAACTCTGTTCCGACACAGTAATATTTTATCATGAGACTATATATCGAGATCTCGCGTGGCGGGAAAAGAGAAGTATACTAGCCGCGAGAAGAAATCTTTCGTTTTACCGCTATCGCGGCGACATATTTATATGTTGTCGTGCCCCAATTTGTAATCGCGACCCGCTCAACGATGATATATGATCTCTAATTCTCGGTTTTCTTCTGTTTTTCTTTTTCAACGGCTGCTCTTTAACGAAACGCCAGAAACTTGTCGTGATTTCGCGATGATGCAACGACCGAGAAGAAATTCGTGAATCGTGGCCGTAAGGGAACGATAGTAACGGACAGTGTGTGCCGGATGAGTGCAAAGTCCCAGCATTTATTGGTTCGGATTAGCCCGGACGTTATCGTCTGCCATGTTATCGGAGCGAGCGAGGCGCCTACAAAAAAATGCTAGGCGCCTCGCGAGCGTGATCGTTTTTCGATACGCTGTATACAAAGTGAAGTACGGGGAGGAAGAGGAGGAAGAAGGCGCCGTCACGAAGATGACGGCGAAGAAAGTGGCTGGACCACGGTTCATGGAGTTCACCGACCTCCAAAAATCTCTATGCGGATCTACGAAGTATGTTGATCCGCCTAGAAACGGTGTGCCCTGCGCTTTATTATCTGTCTGCGTTAGAGTCTTCACTGAAATCTGCAAATACCGTGAAACAATTCTGAAATTATCATCCCGCCACCGGTGATCAATATCGAAGGGTACGCGCCGTTTGCTCGTTTTATTTATTTCCGTTTAAAAAATTTAGAGTCTACCACTGCGAGCGAGGGAAACACCGCGTTGTTTACGCGTTATCGATTCTCCTCTGGTCGCTGCATCGCGTCTCAGGTGGACCCCGCCTGGACGAATAAGAAGATCCGTCAATGGACGAAGAATTAAAAATCATAATTAAAAATCACAGTCGCGTTATCGCTGGTCGTCGGTTAGTTTATCGGAGTTTACACCAAGTTTCGCCATCCTACCAAGAAACGTTGAAATTACGTCAGTGGGATTATTTTCGTATCTTATTCCAAGAGCAGAGAAGGAAAGCGCGAGAGAAGGCGATCATGCGACGGGAATAACAACGCGAATCCGCGGTTGTACCCGGTTACAATTGACGTGAAACGAGCCTGGGATACGCCCGTGGTTCCGCGGTTTCATCGCCTGTATTCTTTTCCGCCGCGAAGCCTCATAATCGAGTTACACCGATCCCCCGTGACACGATTACGTATTCGCGCCGCGATCGGTCCCGTCCTTCGACCAACCTTTCCTGCAGCTCTCCATATCGAAGGGAGAAATATAATATATCGGCGACAAGTGATACATCGCGAATAGTATTGCTTAATTCACCGTACTACGTAATCGCAACAATCTAATTAAATATACACGTGTTATATTACGACGAAACGCAGATTAGTTTGCGATTTACATTTCGGTGATTATTCTTCTAATTACGCGCGACGCGGAGATGAACCAATTCGATATCGATTGCCATAAATAAACGTGGAAATGTTGCGAAAACGCGGAGGAAAAGAATGAAACGATGTCAAGCGATATCTATTCCGGAATAGATGGGAAATCATACGTTACGTCAACCGGAATTAGAAACATAACAATCCCCATCTGTTTAGACAAGTACAAATGAATGCAACTATGATAACTGATTATGAGAATGAGATAAACATTATACAATGATCCGCGCGCTTCCCTGGCTGGCGTTAAGAGACTGATGCAATTGTTTTGAATGAAAGTACCTCCTTGCGTTTTGACGATATGATCCATAATGAATATCAGTTTCACGATACGAGACGATTAAGAAACAAATTTGATTTATGTCCATTAATGCAGTCTGAAAGAGAAAAAAACTTAAAAATTAAGATAACTTGCTCGAGAATCGATCATTGTTTATTTGCAAAAAAATTAAATTGTACATGTGCTTAAAAGAGTCAAAGAATTTAATCTAATACGATTAAATTGTTGACTTAAATTGTTGACCACCGTGACATTTTTAATCTTTATTACCGGTCGACTGATATAGATGCAGCAATAACAGCTGCCAAAAAGACAAAGTATGTGATGCAACCGTAATGTGGTGTGTTACAATGTTCTACGTATTACCGTGACAATAATTAATAAAACAGTTTATATTCATTGTGCAGCAAACTGCAATTTTCGCGTTTTTCCCCATAACGCAGATTGATAAATATAATCTTATAACTCTATTTTAAATATAAATATAAAAATAAAAGTAAATTATATGAGTATGAAAATTATAATTTTAAGTGATAATTTAACTTTTTTTTTCAACGAGATTAGAGAGATCACGGCACCAGTTCAATTATAAATAAATTACGTCTACCATTATCCGAGCTATAAAGATGTAATTTAATTCTAGTACGAAAAAAAAGAATCTTTTTTTTATCTCGATATGTTAATTTCGGGATTCAGCGTGACCTTTTACCGCTATTTGACGCGTGTGTCGTCTCGTACCAACATGATGCAGATAAGGATCGTCGTCGCGTCCTTTGCCCGGCTAATTACTCGATAAAAATTCGTTTTGGAAGAAAGAAGCCGATATTACCAGGCAAAAATATACGATCTGAAACGTGAGAGGTCGATAAAACTAGAGAGTGCAAAAGAAAAGGAACAGCATTCTCTCCTAAAGAACGGTCATCAAAAAGCCGTTACTTTCTATCGCAATTAAAAGAGTAATCGGTTGTTTTATAAACAATATATCACGAGAAAGGATAAAGAATTCTTCCTTTAAACTCAACGATGACGAAGTATTTGACTAAATGCTACGTTACTTACGCAGTCGCAGAGAGAATTGCATGAATCGCCAAACGCGCTTATCCGCCAGATTATCAGCGAATTACAATAAGCGTTTTATTCAAACGGCCATATTTGCCACCGTGATGCACGATAAGCCGAGTCTATTATAGAAGAGCGAATGGGATAGAATAATTGCTAATTAAGATTAACACACAATGTTGCAATAAGATGTATTTTGTTTAAATATTAAGCTACATTAACATAAGTGGCGCATTTATCAAACGTAGCTCCCCATCGAGAAGAGAGAGAATATTTACCGATCGAATGAAATAAAACTTCTTTTTAGAGCTAACCGTCTGACAAGTTATTCGAGGACTGAAAAATAGTTGATGTACCCGATGTAAACATATATCAGCCGAAAGTAAATAGGAATTGAAAGTAAAGACATAGAAATAAGACATTATAAAATGTCCATCGGTTAAGTACATTGAGATCTAACTGGAATGGAAAACAATTGTGTGATACAAAAATTACACGTGACTTCACGCGGGTTCGTGAGACAACGAGAACGCAGAATAGCGAATCGATTTCGATATTAGAGAGACGATAACGATAAGCGACAATGTATTGACAAAATATATTTGTTAAGTTTGTTTTCTTAATAGGTATCTTAATGATTCATTCACAAGTCGTTTCATGCGGCTGTTGATGCAAAGCCGAAGCGCTGCGCGATAAATACAATTTTTTTACATAAAATCGAACTGCATTTGAATTTACATACACCGGCACGCGGCATTATCGCGTTCTACGACGTGGGAAAAATAACTAGAACGACATTTTTGCTGACTAAAATTCGAAAAGGTGCAGATCAATGTCGGAAACGTTCGCCAAACATGCCCCAGTAGCGTGTTTCGCAGTTCATGTATAGAAAGTATCTTACATTTTACATGCGCAGTTTTACGATCAACTCCTGTATTTCGCGAACATGTGCGGTCACCTTCGTCGATATGTGAAACGGCTTCTCCCCGACTACGTTGTGACTTCTCGTGACAAAATAGCTACGACAAAGTGTTACATACTTCTCAAAAATAAAGAGTAAGTACACATATAAATTAAATGTGAAGAATGAAAAATAATAGTCAAATTCATGTTATTTATGCATGCTTGGTGAAAGATTTATATTTCTCATAATTATAAAAATAACTTAAAGTTTGAAAAACGAACGTTAAATAAACGTTAATGAAATGGGGTGATGGAGATACTTAATATTTTACGATGATCGATGAGCTGCGTCCTCCGAAGGAGAACTGCACGATGCAGTTACGTGGCGTATTTTTAGAAATAATTTAATCGAACATTTCTTATCAGCATCTGTAAAATAACCACAAATCCAATCCAATATAGGTCATATATCGTAGAATACGAAATTTGATCGTTTACAGTGGTGAGGCTTAAATCAAGGATTGTACGGAAAGATGCGCGCGAGAAAATAGGAAGAGAAACATCGATCGAGTTTCTTGCGGTTATTTACTGTTTAAATATATACTGCGCAGGTTGGTTGTAAAAAAAAGTCTTATTCAATATCTTAATGTTTGTGGAAAAAAAATTAAATTAGATTAAGACTAAATTAACAGTCACTTTTGTATATGTATATTATTAAAATATAAAAATATGTAATTAATCTCATATATATATATATATATATACATATATATATATAATTTATATATTATATGTATAACTATATATGATTATATATAATTGTATATTATATATAACTGTATATAATAGAAGTATAATAGAAGATAAATCGGATATAGGTATATATAGCAAACGTATAATTAACGTGCATCTTTACGAAATCCGAACGTGAGCATCCACACGTCTTATTTTTCGTATATATACAAATATCACTACCGAATTCTGATATCAGATCACCTCGGCAGTTTGGTAGTCAATCGTCCACAGATTAGATAAATCGAAGTCTTACGGAGATTATCGGTGCCAATGCGTTGACCATGATAAATTTTCCCGCGATAATCACGAGTGAGCATTTTCACCTATACTTCTCGAGAACATCTCAGGGCGTGACAATTAAAGCACGTGTTGATCGCAGTCGGGCGATGCAATGGAATTTTTTTGTTGCTTTTATTCCTCGAAAGAGGAGGAATGTGATTGCGTACATTTGTATTGATTAATCGAGAGCTTACGAGCATCCGAAGGAAAATCACCGGACTGGACAAAGGATACGTTCAATTTAATCATCAGATGACGTATCTATGTGCTTCTATCGAAGGTATTGACGCATCGTGGTTAATCGTCAAGATAACATGAACTTTATCGCTTAATCCATACAATCGAAGAATTTGCTGAACGCGCAGATGTATTCAAATAAATATGAGAAAAGTTATCCCATACAAAAAAAAATACTTGGTATACCGATTGCCACCGTATCACTTCTACGATATACCTATATGTAGAAGATAAAACGGGCGCAGGAGGACTGTTCACATCCGAGCCGTTTTCGTTGTCACCCAGCCGCGAGTACGCTCGTATACTTTTTCGAGCCGATAATAATTTTACTGTGAAACAGTAAAATTCCTACTGCATTGAACATTCGCGATCTCTCCGTATCGTCATTGACGTGCGGTTTCTATATCTAATCGAACGAAAAGACGAAGAGAAAAAATAAAAAAGAAAGATACGGATTATTTAAAGCGCGCGCTTGCCTTGCAAGAAATCGCGCAGACCTTCACTGCACGTGTAATCGATCGGCGTTTCGACGCGGATGAATATTTACGAATTATCGAGAGGACCGAAGTGTAAACTCTGTTTCGGGGATATAGAGGGATGCTCCGCGACCCCGGACGAACGGCGCCGCGTCGCGGGACGTGCCAGCCGATCGTTCAAAATCGGCGCGCCTAGCAGACGGCGGACGGCGCCGGTACGCGCGACATTTCGTACGCGCGAAAAAATCGGGGGGAGAAAAACGATCGAGTTGACGTCGACACTCACCATTTGAGGGGTGGGACGGCTCTGTCGGGATCCCCGATATTCCTGCAGTTGAACGGTCTCGTATCGTCGCTTCTTCTTCTGATGCGAGCGCGAGCGTCTTACGGCCGATATCACCACAGCTGGGCCCATCCAGCCATCTTACCATATATCAAAACGTGGACTACGTTGTCGCGCTGGCGTGTTACGCTGTCGAATCCCCCCCCTCTCCCCCATCATCCCCTTTTTCGTCGCGCCGCGGCGACGGCGATTGCGTAACGCTCGTACTCTTCTTGTCGCTCCCGCGGCTGTCGCGTTCTTTCTCTTTCTTTCCACTTCTCCTTGCTCTTATCCGGCGAGTCACCTCGCTTATCGAATTAAAGTTCACGTTGTAATCACGAGCGACGCTACTGCACGGTAGAATAAAATTAAAAACTAGCAGAGGGGAGGGAAGGGGGAAGAATGATCCTGATCCTGAGAATGCATCCATTTCGCAGAATTCGTAAATAAATGATTCCGATGACTTAAGCTCCAAGTAGCGTCGCTTGGCTGGTCCAAGAAGATCTGGATTTGAATCTCTAGTTATCTTGTAAAAACATAATAGCAGACACAAGAAAGATTGAAAAATATGAGAGAAAGAAATGTTGCAACTTTTTGGTTTGACATAAATCAATCGCATCCAAAGATCGAGCATTCTATTAAATGTTTTAATACTTATTTATATAATTAATTTATTTAATTGGTATAAAACAGATAATAGATGGTAAAAAGATCTTTTTTTACTAACATATTATTTACAATATATATGATATATGACAATATTTACAATCTTTTTAAAATAAGAAAAATAGAGTTAATTGCTACTACCGAACCAATCTGATCCCATTGCACCGAAAAACGCAGCCGCTCCGGATTTTATTGCACTGGTAGAATCATTTTTCGCGTGTTCTTTTGTTATTTTCTTGCGCTGTAAAGAAATATGTATTTCAATGTAAAAGATAATCTTTACTTATTCTTTTTATATATTTACAAAATTATATTAGCATCATCTGCGATATCACAAAAGTAGACATTTACAGAAACATTTATTAAATTATATTAAAAATTTAGCTATATAATAGCTGTTATCCTAATTGCATTTATATTGTATGTCTAATAACTACGAGTTTATTTTCTCTTAACAGACTCAATGTGACTCTTCAAAAAAATCCATTCAAATATTTTTAATCTTTTGTTTTTGTTTTTTTAATAAAAATGACGAGCAAGATAATTAGCAACATGAAAAAAGAAATTATGTAATTGCATTAATTGATTAGTTGCGTTAATGCAAAATCACACCATGCAAGATTGGCTTACCAAATCTATATATTTGTGATATTTTTATCTCTGTCAAAGGGTAAAATCTAAGAATAGGTATATATATATTTGTATAGAAAATAATTAGAAAATGTACTATTTTAACTTGACAATTTTGCTATTATAACTGGAATGTAAAAATATTGGTTCAAAAGTAAACGTACTTGTGTTTTATCAGGTATGGGCATCGACAAAATTGGCAAATTCCTTGTTGGAGCGGTTACAGTTAATGGCGGGAACCATGATGCTCCTGTACAAACTGCAAGTACCGCAGGTGGTTCGGTCCTCCCATTGTCACTGCTCGCGTGTTCATTACGCGCACCCAGTATCGAATGCAATTGTTCCAAATGACTGATCAGGTTTCCAAATATCAACTAAAAAATTAGATATTATAAATCTCATTGTTATTACATAAAATCTCTAGCTTTGTTAATAATATACTAACCAAAGACCTTTGCACGGATTTTTTAACATTGGTGTTAATAAACGGATTAAAGACACCGTAATCGAACGGGTCTATTTTCGCAAGCACCGCATCGCACGTTTTGGTTGATAATTCATTAAGAATTTTGTTTTCATGTGGCACCATGAGCAATGTACAATATCTTATATCGTATAGTACTTGAAACGCTTGCTTTTGTCTGAGGTCTAGATTTTTAGATGCATTAAGATAATAATTAAATAATTCGGTAATAATGCTTTCGATAATTTGCTGTAGTACTCTCCTAAAATTGAAAAGAAAAACAGAAAAAAATCATGAATAAATAAAAGTATCAGAATCTTCGAATCAGCTGGTGTTGCATTATTTACTTACTTTGGAAGTGTATGAGGTATAATCTTATTTAAATCTTTGCAGACGGCAGTCAGGAATTTTTGCAAAGGTATCGATGGTTGATACGGTATTAAAATTTCAGACTTTATTCGCTTTCCCTCTCCGGATTCTTCCTCGATGGTAACTTTCTCCCATTCCGCTACGATCCAGTGAACACGCAACCCATCCATCGGCTCTCTTAATATATATTTCTTCATATGTTCAGATATTTTAACTTTATATACATTAGCCCAAATGGACCACATGCAAGTACTTTCTTCCTTCAGATTGTCACAAACAGCCTGCCACTTGACATTCGTGATGGTCAGCCCAGATACTTTCGACGATGTAAAACACATATTTAAATTCGGACACAGAGTAGTTAAAGCAAAGAGAAATCTTGCTAAAACTATAGCGTTTATATCATTCTGACCATGTTTGGGCTTATCATTGACGCATGTGCTCTTTATAAACAGTACAAGATCTTGGATCTTTTCGGTGCTGATTGCTTGCAAATGTTCTTGAACTTCATTACGATCGGAGAACGAATTTGCAATTAAAGATACATTCGCCGAAAATAAACTGTCTTTTATTGTTATTACTCGCTCAGTCTCGTATAAATAGTGCTCAAGATCGGACAACAGCGCACGTAGACTTTCATCAAATTTTTCGCACAATTTCATCACGTTCGGGGAATATCCTTTAGCCTTCATTAACAAGGATCTCTTGTCATCTAATCCGCCATTCTTTGTAAGCTTTTGTGGAATGTCAGTGGGGGAATCCTTCCACACAAACCATCGTAAATCGTGTTCCGGAAATTCAAATTTATCATGTGCCACTTTATCGAGCAATTCTGCTATATCGGATTTTAAATCGGTCAGCGTATCCGTCCATTTGTCCGTTATAATACCTGTTGACAAATTATCATTAATAATATTACAACAAAAATCTTCATTTTTTATATATACTTAGAGAGAGATATATATATATAAAATTACATTTAGCTCGTTTAGTTATAATAGGCTGGAAGAATTCCATCCAGAAACTTATTCTCGGCAATGAAAGCTCTTCCCATATGGAATTCCAGTTTTCTGGTAGATTCACGCTGATAGCTTCTTCCCGAACGTTATATAGACCCTTAATAGAAACTATTAAGTCTAATAACTTGGCGACCTCGACGTTAGAAAAATCATTCACCCATTTCAACCAAGATTTAACGCTATCTTGAAGGGCTGATAGAGAAAAGCATTTTGGTACATCCTGAACGAATGGTTTATGATGTTTGGTAACGGATGGCAGGAACTCGTTGAGTAAATCTTGATCTAAATCCAGCTGCGATAGCAAAGAATATGCCTCCTGATCTTTTATATCCGTTATAAACTGTAAGACTAAGCCCCCAGGCGCATTATCTGCATCTGTAATCACATGTACAATAGAATGTCAGAAATAAAATTTTCTGCTTGCGCTACATTAAGATCATAAAGCAAATAAAATACTTACTTATAAAACATGAATATATCAAATGGACAGTTTGTATAAGTATTTTCATACACAATTTCAGCTTATTTTTAACACTGTCGTGACTCTCTCCTTTGACGACCGATTCAATGGCATGACTTCTCGTAGATATTAATCTTTCTAAAAGATCCGCAAATGACGATTCATTTAAAAATACGAGAGACGCCAAGCAGTTTGCAGCATTCTACAAGGCAAATGTATATCATCAGTAACTAATAATTAGATATCACAAAATAAGCAACAATGTGTATACCAACTATGGTTGAAACATCCAACGATTGCAATATCTTGTTGCATTCGCTGGATATAATGTTTTTAAACTGCATAATAACATCCCACTGCTTCGAAACAATTGGATATCTACGCGACAGCTCGGCACTGCCGACTTCAAACATTAGACTATAATTTATATGCTGCGCTATTATGTACAACTGCGTGGCAAATAACAAATTCTGATTCTCGATGCTCGTCCAAATGTCTTGCGGAATGTCCATCAGGATTTTGATTTGGATAATGATGGAGTCAAACGTATGCCCTCTTCTACAAAAAAAATTACAGCTGTAGATTTCAACAAGAACTTAACATTCAAATATATGCAAACGGAAAAAGAATACTTGTCTAGCTTATCTTCGACCGGCTCCGTCTTGAAACCAATAAGGTATTTCTTTTGCAGTTCCCTAAATTTATCCTCTATATTAGCGATTCTCGCGGTAACTTTCTCAGACGTTATCTTCATTTTCCCAATTGTGTCGGCAGCCAATATCAAGTCCCGATATCTTTCTCTGAAAATCATGTAACGTAAAATCATTATAATGTTAGTGTAAAAACACAGATTAATTGTTTCTTCTCAAGAAATTTGATATAATGGCCCTTCGATTTTAAATAATGCGTTTTCTTGTAAATTTTAATAACAAGACAAACTTCGATAAAGAATAGTATGTATTTTAATATTAAAAAAAAATCGAACAGAATTGAGCTACATGGACGAGCCTTACCCAACTAATGTCCGTAATTCTATTTTCTTCCTGTCACTTTCCAGTTGAATCTTCTTCTGAATCTCCTCGATCTCTTTAATGGTGTGCTGCTCGAACAATTTGTTTATGTCCAAGTCCAAGTAATTCGTCGTTGTCATATTCGTAATGTTACGCGTATACTTTCTCTAGAGAATTAATAAAAGATCTCCCACGTAATCCATAGGTTAGGATCGCACAGGTTGGTTCGCCATCAGTTGTTTTATCGTGCATCGATAACGCCCCGTTGATATGTCAGTTCGGCAGACTTCCGTTAGTCGGCGCCGCACCTGTGCTCGCTGCACCTGCGGTGCGGGTCTCCTCTCCTTCTGGGAGTTACGTGCTGCTCCGAAAATGCTTATCTGGGGAAGGCTCCTCTTCGACGTCGAGTACAGCTAACCAAGGCGCCGTCGAGGCGCCGTCGAGGACGGTAAATTCCGTGTTCTCGCGTTCGGGCGGGCAGTGTGCGGCCCCGGGAGAGTCGTCGAGAGGCACGACACAAACCGTCGGATTGCCGCGCGTGCCGTGGACGAGAAACACCGAAACGCGCGTACGGTACGGGGTGCGCTATTGGTATGCGGCGGCTCTTTGTCGCCGTGGGAACTCCGGCGGATCTGTCTCGCGTCGTGTCGCGTGTTCCGGACGTTCCGAGGAGGAAGGTTATGTCGTCGGCATAGCCGGTCGCACGATCCTGCTGATACCCGGCTGCTGCTGCTGCCCGCCGTCGTCGTCGTCGTCGTCATCGGCGCCCTTCGTTCCGGTCGGCGGGGAAAGCGCAAAGCGGGTGTACCCTGATCGCGAGCGATGAAATTTTTCATTGCCCGGTGACATTCTCCCCCGCGTGGCGACAGCAGGTGTGTCCTACGATCTACGGATGTGTGCGCGGGTATACCCCACCACCGACATCTCCCGTGCGAGCCACCACCGACATCGAGCAACTCTCCGCGGTTTCCCAGCGGTCGCGGCGGTGATGTGCGCTACCGGACCAAAAACAACCTAATCAGGGCCTGATGACTGTCGACAACACGGGTGAGCATGCTTCCTTGATTTATGGCGCGCCTTCACGGCCCTATCTCGACGGCGACGGACAAATGGCAAAGTTGAGCCCCGCTCCGCGAGACTTTCTTCTCTCCCCTTTTTTCTTTTTCTGGAATTGGCACATTCACGCAAGGACTCGCGCCGTGTTGCTATTTTAGCGCTCGGCGCCAAGAATCGCCGTTCGCCAAGAACGAAAACTTGTTTCACAAGTAGGGTTATATTCAAATGAATCAACTGGAGTGTAATGTGCGAAAAATTCCTCCTACTTCTCTGACAAGTAATATGTACATGTCTTAAAAGGAATTGCGACAGTGTTATACAATATAAATAATCTCACGATACAAAACGTATCTATATGTGCGCAAACTCTTTACACCAATATAATGAACCGAGTTATCGAATATCATTTTATAATAAAAAAATTTTTAATTTCTGCATAGCTTTGTTCCAAGTTGGAGAAAAATAATCTTGTTACGTTTGGTGTTTTTTGAATGCAGATTATTACCACAAGGCAAAAATGAATACCTCACTAACGTCACTTCAGCCAAATAGTCAAAGCTTAGAAAGGCAGAGACATGTCAGAACAACGACGGAAAGAATGTACAACAGTCTTACCAAGAAAAGGTTTGTCTCTATTAATATTAGTCACCAGTATTAGTCATGGATAAATCTTTCATTTAATCGTATATACATTGATGTTTTTTTAAATTTAAATTAGCTAGTATATTAATCCAACAACTGTTGTATGTTTCTAGGAAAGATCCAAAGCAAGCAAATGTTCAAAGAATGTGGATAAACTACGAAGACTGCAAAGATGACTTTTGGGCGGCTATAAGATCTAATTATGATTATATTATGGATACTAATTTAATCGAAACTTGCAAGGTAAGAGTTTGAGGTATCTTATAAGTTTTTTTTTTATATACAGAAATGTAACGCGAGATATGAATGTTGAACAATTTTCATTTTTATTGAACATTTATTTTCAATGTTTCAGGAAGCAAATGGTGAACTAACATGGGACGAAACAGACGTGTCGACGCAATCGTGGAACTTGAAGGAAGTCAGCAATCAATTTTCAGAGCTTTACTCGTGGTTAAGAATTCTTCAAGAGTTGGTCTATTCTAAAGAAGAAAATCTTTTAGACAAAAGTCTGCGTGCAGTACGTATCAATCAAGTCTGACATATGCAAAATATATCTCGCGTTTTAAAATAATTAAATTTTAAAAAATTTAAATTAATTAGGCTCATATGGAGGAGCTGCGACGCAAGGCTTACAGACGCAAATTGTTCAATGAACAAGCGGAAAAGTTAATTTCTCGCGCCCCTGCTTTAAAAGATGAAGTGGCGTGGCGTGTAGATCACTTGAATGCAAAATGGGAACTAGTTGAGCAAATTATGGCCCCCATAGACCAACCAGTATCTAGTCAACAAGATATATCAGCAGGTAATGGATTGTTGCTCCGTAAAAAATCATATGTCTTTTGTCACATAGTTTATTAATGTATACGTAATCTCGATTTGTTCTTTTCAATAGACTTTGAACGCGAAGTGAAATGTCTAAGAAAATGGTTACGAGAAATGGAGTCGCGTCTTCAACCTTTGAGCTTCCACATAAACTGGACTCTGCCAGAACTGGAGGAAAAAGCAGTAGAGCACATGGTAAGTAATGTATTGCTTTCTATTATTATATTTACATAGGAAATACCAAGTATTTTTCTATCTTTCTTATTCGGAGGCAAATTTCGCCATGTGGTACACTTTATGGACGATATGCCAGATGTCTCTTTGAGTCTCCCTTTTATTTATCTTTTTTCTTTTATTTTACTGTGGGAAAGTCAATCCGCTTATAGAACAGAACGTTTGTACAGAAACTTAGCATATGCTCCGCAACATATGATCAGTTTTTCCATTAGAATTAAATAATAAACAAATAAATATTAAGAAATTATGTATCTCTATAAAGAAAGGTGAATGTTCTTTCAAGTTTCCCTCGGGTAATTTTTATGCATGCGCATGTTCATTTGTTCTTGTCTTCCTGTTTTTTTAAGAGTAAATTGGATAGCGTAAAATGCACGAAGCGAAACGGAGTATAAATATGCTCCGATGAATTAGCTTCACTAGCTCAGGCAACCCATTTATTATCCGATTTAATTGTTAACGGCGAAGCGGGGATGCTAGGAAGCGGCACGATTCGGCGGAATACGTGCTAAGAATAATGCCGCGTTAGTTGAGCACGTGCGTACGGGGCTGAATTTTCGCTGCCTAAGACCGGTCGACGCAACGGCATGAGAGGAGCGGATGTGATGGCGTACCCAGCTAGGGTGGGGAGCCAACAGTCGGCGTGTACCCCACGTTTGTTGTTTTGTTCCGGGCTCCGATCTTTGCCGAAGGCTCGCGTTCGGCGCGTTCGGACGCAAACGATGCGCTTCGTTGCGCGCTCAGAGGCTAGCAGCTGCCTGCCGGCTGCACGAGCCGACAGAGTTCGCCGTTCCACGGTCGCCGCCGGTGGACGGGCAACGTTAGAACGAGCACGTTGATCCAAGGTTCCCTTCCTCCTTGTCCTCTCTTCTTTCTTCCTTCCCCTCCACGCTCATCTCCCCGTTCTTTTCGCGTTTCTTTCTCCTTCCTTCTCCCTCATCTCTTTTCTTTCCGTTTGTCTAGTTCTTCCATCCCTCTTTTTTTCTAGAGCATCGCTATATTTAAACAAAGCAAATGGTGCGCGTCTTTTGTGTTCGACGATTTGTGATCGCGACAGCCCTCACGTATAGCTCTGTGCGACGACGCCACGCGTGGCTCGGCTTTCCGGCTTTTGTATCACCGGCATCTTGCCCCTCATCAGCATTCAGCGATCCCTCCGTTTTCGAAAAGCAACGGGGGGTTCTTCTTGGGAAGAAGAATCCACGATCGTGATCCATCGTGGGTCAGCCAGACGAGTCTCTTCCTACGGGTCTAACCGGCCGCCGTACGGGCTCTCCCCTTCTTCCTTCGCCTCCTACTCGTTTTTCCATCCGTCCGTCCGTCCGTCCGTCCCATCTAACCGAGACATACCACGGCAACGCTCGCAGCTCAAACTTCTTCGCGCGGTCCATTCGACGTGGTTTCTCCGACGCCACCGCCGCCGATTGCCGCGAACGAACCCTGCCGTGACCCCGCGCGGCGCGGCGTGGCGAAGGAGTCATTCATGCATCGTGACGAGCACGAGTGCGACGAAACCGCCGCGAAGAAGCGGGGAACCGGGGATTCGAGGCGAATGAAAGAAACGGTGTGTCTCTCAACCCGTCTTCTCGCCGTCTCGTCGTCGGTCTGTGCCGCTTGTGAAGAGAGAGAGAGAAAAAAAAAGAAAGATGCGCTTCGTTACTGAAGCTCGTGAGTGCTCGTAGTGCTGCAGCGCGTGGTCGCTCCTCGTTTCTTCGTAGTTCCTCTTCTTGTGGATACGCGTGCTATTTCATCCTCGCGCTGACGTACAACGGTGCGCCGTTCTTCCCTCTCGGCATAGTGGATATGCATTTTGGTAAGCCATCTAAAGAAAAACTTATCGTTTCTTTATCTTATAATTATTATTATACGACGAAGTTTCTGCGGAGCTCGCTCTCGAACAGATTGCCTCACCGCGCGGATCGATCTAAACTGCCGATTAAGCAGCATTGTTTCGAGGCACGTGGTCGTAAAAAGTGCGCGGTAAAGATAATGGAATTTAGAACGTGAAAGTCGGTGTTCCAGGTGTAGTATACCGACTCCGAGGAGAGACGCTAAATTTTCCTGCTTGGCGCGAACTCTCAGGTTGCATCTATCTCAATATTTTACGCGCGTTGTTGCTAACTCAAGTCTAATTCCAATCTGCCTCTCTTGAAAAGTTTTTCATGCGAGATAACACCTTAAGCTAATTCCGACCATCCGCAATTCCCTCGTAGTGCGGCACGACTGAGATTCATTGTGATATTCGTCCCGTTATTGTTACACCGAAAAACACAATGAAACAATGAAGCAATTACAGCGAACGCTATTGGTCTAATCTGAGTAATGCATCTATGATCGTGCTTGCCTTTCGAACGAGAAACCGTCCATTTACTACATGCTGGATTTTCCTTTCATGTGGTAAAAGACGAAAGGAAAATCGTCGTATAAAAAGTTACGTTACTCGCGCTTTGATGTTTTAT